ATGTCTGATCCCCCGAAAAATATACCTGACAATACGAAGGATTATACAGATTACAATAAAAAAAACTGCTTGAATAAACAATGAAAGAGAAAGGGATTRAASAAGATAAGAGTCGTCCGTGCGCGCCGAACGCTCAGGAAAGCGGTCCGAGGTAGTTACGTTCAGGCACCAAAAATGTAGTTAGAGACATCGGATMTTTTTGAAATTTTAACACAATATTTCTACATATATATACATTCGAAAAATGTAAAAAAAAAAAAAAAAAAATTTTTTTTAAATTGCAGAGTAGAAGGTCCCCTTAATATAATTTAATTTAATTTTATTTTAATTTTATTTAATTTTATTTTATTTAATATAATTCAATTTAATTTATTTTATATATTTTATTTTATTTTATCTTATGAATATAAGATAGAACAATTTTTCTTCTTTTTTTTTTTTTAAATTTCTAATACGAATAATATTGTTTTTATCCAACGACTGAAAGAAAAATACCCAAAAGAAAAAATAAATAAATAAATAAATAAATGAATTTAAAAACATTTAGGATTAAGAATAAATCAATATCAGATACAGATACAGATAAACTTTATTTCATGTCCACCCTCGCGGGTTTCAACATAACCTCCTTGCTATATACAGAGTCATACACCCTTCGCTACCCTCTCAAAAAAACCTCGCTACCTCACACATCTCCTCTACTATCACTTTCCCTTCCAATGTCTTCTCCCATCCACCATACGGGTCCCCTCTCTGCTGTTCTTCCCATTCTCTAAAGTTCCTATAAATCAATATCAATTTAATATAAAAAAAAATAATATTAAGAAAATCTTGTGCAAATTCATTTATGCTTTTTTTTTTTTTTTTTAATAAGAATAACATTTATAGATAGAATTGTTTTTTATCCAACTATTGAAAGAAAAAAAAAACGAGATAATAGTATATTACATACCTAGGGAGGTAAAGTAAGAAATGTCTCAAAGTACATGTAATAACACATGTAAAACATGTGCTCTGAGGACTTTTTTATTTACTGCCCATGGTGAGTATATTTTTTTTCTGCTCAACGTAGGCGGAAAGCGTCAACTTCGTTTAACACAGCGGGAGCAAAGTTGACGCTTTTCGCTTAGAGGGCAGACAAATAAATGCATGTTATACAAATTGAAGATAAAAATAATCAAAATAATTCTTGATAAACTGTCAACAAATTTATTGATGAAAACCAGTTGGTATTTATTTTCATTTTTATCTGTCACAATTCTAATCTCTTTGCTTGTCCGAGATAAAACTTTTCAACGGATCAGCAACTTTAGGTATATTTAGGATCGATCATAAACCAGACGAACGAAATTAATGAAGAACTTAAGAAAAGAACTCAATCTAGACAACTCATGTTTCTATTCGGTTAACAAATTACTCAGCTTGCGGTTGTTGTCTAGGTGATTAAAAATCAGGATATACAGGACAATCATCCAGCCGGTAGTCCTTTATGGTAGCGAATCGTGGTCGCTTACGTTAAGGGACGAAAAGAAATGTAGGGTTTTCGAAAACAAAGTTCTTCGTAAAATCTTCGGTGCAAAACGCGATGAGGAAACGGGCAAATGGAGAAAACACCATAACGTTGAAGTACATCGATTGTACAACAAACCGGACATCATTAACGTCGTAAAATCACGCCGATTAAGATGGGTTGGTCATGTGGCGCGGTGCATGGGGGAGGATCGAACGGCGCACAAAATATTGGTCGGTATACCAAACGGGAAAAGACCACTAGGTAGACTGAGACGTAGATGGGAGGATAATATTAGAAGGGACCTGAAAGAAATAGGATACGAAGACCGCGAATGAAAGGATCGCGCTCAGGGACGGAGGAACAATGGCGGGATTTGGTATTTGCGGCAATGAACTTTCGAATTCCTAATGCCAGTTAATGATAATAATAATGTGGGACGAACGCCTCCATGCCAAACTTGTTAAGCATTCGTGGAGGGGAACTGGTCGGTGGGCCCTGGATAGCTCAATTGGTTAAAGAGCAGTCGCCCGGAAAGCGAAAGATCCGTGGTTCGAGTCTCCCGGTCCAGTCAATAGTCCAGCGGTCCAGTTTTTTTTCACGAATCTTTCATTTGGGGGCTCGTCCGGGATGGAGGTCTGTTTCGTAGCATGTTCCACAGTCTTACAACGCCACGAGAAGAAATTATTTATAAATAATTACAAAAGAGTAAAGAGTTTGGCCGATAGTGGCGACGCGAACGGTTAGCCGAGGAACTAGGCAGGGACGATCTTACGGAGCCTCGACAACGTGTTCGGAACGAGTAAAGACGTAACGAAGGTGCCACCAAAGGAGGGGTGGCGATGACGGAAGATTCGAGGTCGATGTTGTTGTTGTAAGGGGGTGGAATGTGGGACGAACGCCTCCATTCCAAACTTGTTAAGCATTCGTGGAGGGGAACTGGTCGGTGGGCCCTGGATAGCTCAATTGATTAAAGAGCCAGTCGCCCGGAAAGCGAAAGATCCGTGGTTCGAGTCTCCCGGTCCAGTCAGTCCCCAGCGGTCCAGTTTTTTTTCACGAATCTTACAATAATAACAATTGTAATCTAATTTTTTTTTCTTCTTCTAGATTTTCAGAAACCAAGCCCAGATAAAAACATATTTTTCCACGAGACATCCTGTTTTGGTGAAAAAGGAATAATATTGAATCCACGACAAGCATGTGCAGTTGAATCAGCTGCTCTGATGAATCCAGGAAGTACAATTTATCTTTTATTTATTAGCCCATCACCAATATCTGTGGAAACTAAAGAAATGATTAAACAATTGACGAGTTATTCTAATATCAAAATACGTAGAATATATCCAGAAACTTATACGAAGGATACACCATTGGAAGATTGGTACAAAAGTGGTGTACTTATGAAAAGTAAATGGAGACGTAGTCATATGTCAGATGTTTTGAGATATTTGACATTATGGAAATATGGAGGAATATATCTCGATTTGGACGTTGTTGTTACCACGTAAGAATATTATTTATTTATTATTATTATTATTATTGTTATTTATATTTGTTATAATTATATGGTCATTTTGAAGTGAAGTAATCAGTTGAAAGATTTCATTTTGAAAGATTATATCTAGATAATTTGTCGATTAATTAGGGTGATTGATAATTGGATCATTTCTTAAAATAATCTAGATAAGCTGGTAATTAGCTAGTAGATATTGATTGAAGTGGAAATGAGATATTTGTTGAAACAATTAGTAAAATGTTTCGTTGTAAGATTTAATTAATATTGTTTGACATTCATATATATTTTATTTTATTTTATTTTAGTTTTGTTTCTTTGATTTAATTTAATGTAATTTAATTTCATGTTGATTGATTGTTGTAAAAATATTTGTTTAGGTCGTTGGAAAATTTAACAAATTTTGCCGGTGCCGAGGATTGGGATGATGTAGCAGCCGGTGTTATGGGTTTCAGTTCAAACGATCTTGGTCGTCGTATGGCTGATGCTTGTCTTCGTGATTTGAAAAAAAATTTTCGCGGTAACGATTGGGGTAACAACGGTCCTGGTGTTATAACTAGGATATTGCAAAAAATTTGTTCTACCAAATACGTGAGTATTTTTAATTATAACGAAATATTCATCATTTTTATTATACATGAAATTTATATAGTTTTAACAAAACATTTATTAGACAAACAAATATTAATTGGAAAATTGAAAGAAAGTCAGGTTCTTGTTTTGATTTATATTCAATCATATCAGTTAATTAAGTAATTGAATTTAAGTTAATTAATTGACAATTTAATATTTGAGGTTTACAATAAATTTAGTTTATTTCAACAATATTAATTGTAATATTGAAGACAATCAAGTTCTTATTTTGATTCATATTCAATCACATCAGTTTGGAAATTTTGTAAATTAATGTAAAAAATAGGAAAATAATTTTTAGATCAAATTGCATTTGAGTTAAACAATAGACAACTTCATATTTGAGGCTTACTGTAAATTTATTTTATTTCAACAATATTTAGTGGTAAAATTGAAAAGACTGAAGTTGAAATTTTTGTTTACAGTTAGTGTAAAGAATAGGAAAATAAATTTTACATCAAATTGAATTCAAATTAGTAAACTAACAAGCTAATATTTAAGGTTGACAATAAATTAATTTTATTTCAAAAATATTCATTGTAAAATTGAAGAGACTGAAGTTGAAATTCTAATTTACAGTTAGTGTATAAAATAGAAAAGTAATTTTAAGATCAAATTCAATTCAAATTAATAGACTAACAAGCTAATATTTAAGGTTGACAATAAATTAATTTTATTTCAAAAATATTCATTGTAAAATTGAATAAACTGAAGTTGAAATTCTAATTTACAGTTAGTGTATAAAATAGAAAAGTAATTTTTAGATCAAATTCAATTCAAATTAATAGACTAACAAGTTAATATTTAAGGTTGACAATAAATTAATTTTATTTCAAAAATATTAATTGTAAAATTGAAGAAACTGAAGTTGAAATTCTAGTTTACAGTTAGTGTATAAAATAGAAAAGTAATTTTTAGATCAAATTGAATTTGAGTTAATTAAAGAAAAACCTAAT